CGCCCCTGCGGTCCCCTTGACGATGCTCCTGGCATTCAACTCCACCTGGCCCCCGGGCACCTTCATTACAAGCCCTTGGCTGGTGCCACCATCCTGCCCAGGGTGCTGCCTGGGGCAGTGGGTCTAGCCACAAAAGCTTGGGCCTTGGGTGGGAGCTCGGCTCTGTGGTCTCTGACCAGCTGCCCACCCCTCAGAGTCTGTCTGTCTCCTCTGTGGAGCAGGGTGGGCCCGTTAGTACCCGCCTCCCGGAGTGTAGGTGCGAGTCAGCGAGACGCTGTGAGCAGGGCCGGGCACCGTGCCTGCCCTTGGCCAGCCTTGGCACTTGGTGCGTCCTCTCGCATGCCAGCCCAGCCGGGAAGGAGCCAGAGGGGGCACCCACCCCGCAGCCTCTGCAGGGGAGCACCAAAGGGAGGGCAGGCCGCGCCAGCGAGGCCTGTGAACTTGGAGCCACTCACGAGGGAAGAGGGTGCCAAGAGAGAGGGACCTCACTGTGCCGCGGGAGACGGGCTCGGTCACTCCTGAGGGACGGCCACTGGCACCACCACCCCCAGGGGAGACTGACGGAGGGGAGTAGCAGGAGCCGCTCCATGCCCCCATGATGGGACAGGTGTGACACTGGACTCTGTGAAGGAAATGCTGGTTCTCTCCCAGGGCCCTGTCCCTTGGCGCCTCTGAGACCCTGAGCTCAAACTCTCGGCCCTGGGGACAGAGGCCAGGCAGAGGCTTGACTTCCAGGGGGTGTCAGCAGGGACAAGGGATGCTTTTGTCCCTAAAAGGGTGTTTGTGACAGCGGTGTCGTGGGACTCTTTCTGCCCTGTTCTGAGCTCTTGCTTCTGTTGTCTTGTCCCTGCACTTTGCAGACGGGGGGCTTGGCTCACAGGGGTAGATGTGCCCTGGGTCTCAGGGCTCAGCAGGCACATGTAAGGGGGTAGGGCGGGCACTGGTCAGACTGCACCTCGAGGTGTCATTAGGACCAGGGGCTGGCAGATGCGTTGGGAGAATAAGACCCCAGCCCTGTTGTTCCCAGCTGTGTGACCTGGGGCACCTTGTCCCCGAGCATCCTGTGTTTACCTGAGGATGCTCACGGTGAGTGGTGACAGAGAATCTGGACTGTGGATAGCACCGCCTACTGTCCTGCCTCATCCCTCTTATCTGTGACCAATGGCCATGAGTCCTGTGGTCACAGCTCAGTGACAGCCTTGGTCAGAAGGGAGTGGTCGGACCCACCCATGGTTGTCACAAACTGGGCATTGACTTAGGACGTCTGTGCTTCACGTCCAGGTAAAGGGGTGCAGGCTGTCATATTAGGGAAACTGAGGCAGGATCAAGTGGTTCCATATGTGACATTAGTAGCTGAGTGACGTGCAGCCTAGGTGTCTGGTTTTGGCTTGAAACTCTTAAATGACTGCCGGGTCTCAAGGGCGAGCGTGACACAGGTGGCCTTTAGGTTCTCTGGAGAGTTCAGGGATGTGGCCACACCTGGACCTGCCCCCACGTGGTTCCCACTCCTTTGCCGGGGCCATGAGGCAGCTGCCCAGCTCTCCAGCCTCCCAGCCCCATCCTCCCAGTCCGGCCTCCCTGTGTCTTGTGAAACAAACGAAGGGCTCAGAGGACTTCTGGGTGTCGCGGTGGAGGGATGTGTGCCTCCTCGTGCTGTTTCGCGTCCACTCCAAGGTCCTGGAGGTGGGGGAATGCTTCTCTTCCCCCATGGACCTCTGCTGAGCAATTAGAGGTCCATTAGAGCCCAATTAGAAGAGCGGTTCAGAGGAGGGCGGGGACCGGAGGAGAAAGGGGCTCCTTCTGCACTATGTGGCCTGCCGTGGGCACAGGCACGAGCCCTGGAGGCAGCGAGGTCCAACTCGGGGTGTTGGCAGGGAGCAGGCAGATTAAGACAGGGTGTGGTCCGTGCCGGGCCGAGTGGGGCCAGGGCCAGGGGCCAGCACCAGATCGTGTGGGTGGACACCCACAGCTCCTTTTGTTTGATGCCAAACAGGAACATAGTTGAGGCCAGGGACTGTGGAAATGGAGGGCATCCAGCCTCCAGTTGGCGGCCTCGACCAGCGGGTGCTCGCCACATGGTGCACTTCCTGAGGAGGTGGCTCCGGTGCCTGAAGGCGAGGCAGGTGTCTCCCAGGTGTGCAAGTGCAGCAGAGGGGTGGGGGCAGCAGCCCACAGCCAAGGGTTGTCCTTAGTGAACCCAGCCGAGGGCCTTACGCTGCTGGAGGGGGATCTGGGTCTGAGGCTGACCCGTCCTCCATGCTCACCGTGTGGGAGAGCGGGGTCAGCCAGACTTGGAGGAGAGTTGAGGCCCCGTCCTGTACCCATGACACCTCCACGTCAGTGTCTGCCCCGGGGGTCCTGCCTCCGGCCTCTGCCAGGAGCCCTCCTCTGTCCCCTGGGCTTCTCCCTGTGACTTCCACGCCAGGGGGCTGCTTGCTTGGGCCCGTGGGCCTACCTTCCAGGAAGTCTCCCTCCACCTTCCTGGGATGCTCCTTTCTGTTTCCAGAGCGTCTCCACGGGCTGCCGGGGGGGGGTGCTGTACTTGCCCAGCCGCAGCAGGTGCTGGGGGGACCCCTGCATGCCGAGCGTGTCCTGCACACAGCCCTGCCTCACCTGCGGCTCCCCCACCCTCTGCCTCAGCTGCCACGCTGACCCTGGCCCCTGCGCCAGCCTCGGGAGTTCCCGTGACTCTCTCTCCCCTCTGGGCCTGGATCTGGGCTGTCAGCTTGCAGGTGTAGCCCGGTGGCTGGTCAGTTTCTCTTTTTGGATAACTGTCCTCTCTGCGAGTTTTCTGGGTCTGTCCCTAATGGGGTCGGTGGCCCAGGGACCCCAGTAGCCCCGTTGTGCTTGCTTCTGGGAGTGATCCGCCACTCTGGACAGGTGCCCATTTTGTCCACCCCACCAGGCCTGCATGGGTCTTGGTCCATGTGCTGCCGCCCACTGCCACCTGGGCCCCAGGCCACCCCAGGAGAAGGCAGTGGCCCAACCTGGGTCCCACAGCTTCCAGGGCCTGGGACAGGAACAAAGCAAGCCACACCACCCTCCCTCCAGGCCCAACTTGGGCAGAGGCCTGGAGACAACGGAGGGGGTGTCCCTGGCCGGGGTGAAGAGTGCATGGGCTTCGGGGTCACTGCAGGTCCTTCTGGGGTGTGGGTGTTGCACAGAGCAGACCCTGTGTGTCCCTGAATGCACGGCTTTGTCCTGGACCTAGCAGACAAGCCCTCGCTCTGCAGAATCAGGTCAGGATGCCCAGGCTCTGGGCACGCCTCGCCTAGGGAGATGGGCGGGGTGACCACAGTGACCAGCCCAGCCCAGCCTCTGCCCTCCCTGTGGAACCCAGGCAGCCCGGGAGCTTCCCGCCAGGAGGATCCCCGCCTCCTCAGGGTCTGCTCTGCTCACCTAAGCCCTTGGTACTGCGTTCCCTCGCCTGGCCCCTCCAGGGTCAGATGGGGCAGCATCCAGCCAGGATCCGGGGCCAAGCTCTGGGGGGAGGGCCCGCCGGCTCTGGGCTCTTGGACTTGGGGATCCCACCCCACACCTCGGCGTCTGCAGGGGCATTGCCCTCTGGGCCTGACCAGCCCTCAGTCCTCACTGTGCGGGTCTGGCGGGGCCAGCTGAACCTGGATGGAGAGCTGGGGTGTCCCCCGACCAGGGGGGTGACAGAAGCACTCGTGTGTAGGATGTGCCCTGCACGGGGCTCGCGGGGCTATTCTTTCGCTGGGGTAGTGTGGCTGCCCGGTGGGATCCTTGGCCCACTCCAGACACCATCTGAGTCCCAGCTGTGATATCAAAAGTGTCTCCAGACACTGTTATGTGTCCTCTGGGGACACTCACCCCAGTCAGAGGCACTTCCTTGATGGCACGGTGTTCCATGGAACCAGGGAGCAGTGGTGCACATGTGTGACGTGACAAGAGAAAGCAGTGTTCTGACGGACGACCTTGAGGGACACGGAGGTCAGGGCTCAGGAAGTGGTCTTGGGGAGAAGCTTCTTTGACATGTCCCCTAGAAGGGGTTGCTCTTACCTGAAGCTCTAGGGAAGCCGGGGCTGGTGGCAGGAGAGTCCCTGCGAGGTCTGGAGCCTGGACCCAGTGGTGACATTCAGTCCCCTGCGTCCCATTGCCCGTCTTGGGAGCAGAGCTGAGGCAGTGGCCTTGTGTTGCACATGTGGCCCGGAGCCGGGCTAACTGCTGCGAGTGCCGGGCAGCACCGGAACCTTCTCCCGCCAGGTCTGGGGGAGGCACATTCCTGCGCCGCGGGCCTCCTGGGCCAGCTGCTGCCCCTCTGCCAGTGTCACTTCCCAGGCACCCGGCATCCTGCCCGTTGCTGGGGGCTCTGCTGGCACCAACTGCGGCCAGCTGCCGAGGCCCAGACCCGCCTGAGTCAGCAGAAGCTGCCCGGCTTGGGCAGGATCAAAATAACCTCCTTCCTTTTCCAGCACTTGAGGGTTTTTCCGCCCTCCAGGGGAAAACACGCCCCTTGCCAAAAAAAAAAAAATCTAAAAAATGAGAATTGTAACATCTGAGCCATCTGGAAGGTGTTTTCTGAGGCCTCTTGGTCGGGAGGGGGTGCTCACAGCCCTGGCCTGTTCATCTGTGTGTGTCGGGCGTGTGTAGGGAGTGTGAGGACGTGGGGTGAGTGAGCTCCGGTGTGAGCACGCCCGTCTCTGTTCCGCCTGTTTCTCCCACACCCAGTCCCAGGTTCCCCGTAGAAGTGAAGGGGCCCCACCTTTTGCTACAGGTGGCTGAGAACCCAGGGCAGTGAGTCCTTCCCCAACCGCCCCGCCCCCCCCATTGCCGCTTGGGGTCAGGTCCTGCACACAGGTCTCATCACAGCCCTGGGCACAGGCTTTGAGCTGCGTCCCATGCACACAGGACAGGGTGTCTCGAGATCCCACCGTCCTGAGTCTTCCGGCCTTCCCAGGCCACAGGGGCTGTGGGCATGCAGGGCCCTGCGCCAGCAGCCTGGGTGGCCTGGTCTCACGTGTCTCTTGTCCCCACAGCGGAGCTGGAGTTCGTCCAGATCCTCATCATCGTGGTGGTGATGATGGTGATGGTGGTGGTGATCACCTGTCTGCTGAGCCACTACAGACTGTCCGCACGCTCCTTCATCAGCCGGCACAGCCAGGGCAGGCGGAGAGAGGACGGGCTCTCGGTAAGTGTGGCCTCGTCGGCATCCTGGTCCCCCTTGGCAGCGGGAAGCCCTGGTGAAATGCCCTCTGTGTCCCCACCATGGTGCTGGAAGGAACCAAACTTGAGGGACAGAGGACAGGGCTTGGTCCCCTCCTGGCCTCCGCTCCCTCCTGTTTACAGGAGTGAAGACACCTGCCTGGGCACAGCCCTGAGTGCCGAGGGCCTGGGAGACATGGGGAGCAGGTGGAGGCGGGGCTGGGAGCCCCCCCCCTTGCTTCTTGAGCCTCTGCCATGTGCCACAGGTGGGACGTTGCAAGGGCCAGGGTGGGAGCAGTGCCATGAGGTCCATCTTCCCGTCTGTCCCCACTGTGGTCCAGGATGCTGCGAAGGGAGAGGCCTGCAGGGGGGGAGCAAGAGCAGGAGGCCACTGGGGCAGGTGATGGCAGGACAGGTGTTCTAGGGACATTCAGAGACCAGACGGGACAAGCAGCTGGCATTTGACTCTGCCCAGCAGGGTGGGGTGGCAGGAAAGGTGTCTACAGTCCTACGGCCATGACCCAGACTGAAGGGGTGGGTCACAGGCCAGTTCCTGCCACCGTGTGGCCACAGTGCCCTGGGGAGGCAAAAGGACCCTGGGGTAGACCCTTCTGGAGCCTGAGTCTCAGCCCAGCTTCACCAGTCCCAGCTGGGCACTTTGGCCAGTTCCTGGCGCAGAAAACGGGGCCCTGGCTCCCTTGGTGTGAAAGGGGTCACGACGCCCACCCCCAGGACGCAGGTCTTCCCCACCCCCAGGACTCAGGTCTTGGCACCAAGTGAGGTCTCCGTCCTTAGTGGCTGGAAAGCACTTTACCCATTCAGTCCCTCAGCCGACGACCTGTACCCAGTGTGCGCTGTGCACCTGGAGTCCCCCTGGCTTGGAGGAGAGCACAGGAGCCAGTGTCCCGCAGCTGCTGCTGGTGGCCACACACCAATATTTACAGGGAACTCTCAAGCTCTGCGGAACCAAGGTGGCCATGCTAGGAATCCCAGGGCAAGCCAGTCTCCGGCCAGGTTGCTGGGGACAAAGGGGGATTGTGGGGGGTGGGAGAAAGACAGCACGGCCCCTCCACACCCTCAGACTGAACCAGCCTCAGATCAGAGATACCAGGGGAAAAGTGTGTGTCTGTCCTGGACACAGCCGGTGGCTTCCCCTCTGTCATCCCCTGCAACGGAGCAACCACTTGCTCAGTTGTTGATTAGGCCACCTGGAGGTGACTTAAAGCATGGGGAAGGTGTGGGGGGTCCATGCCAGTGCCACACCATCCTCTCGGTGCCCAGGGGTACTCGGGGCCAACTGTACTGCGCAGGAGAGCGCTTGCTCTTCGTCGTCATCCTCTCTCTGACGCTGGAGCTGTGAGCACCACTTGGCCTTCTGAAAACCCCGAGTGTCCCCTCCAGACTCAAAGCCTCGCCTGAGGGGGGAGCCCCCAGAGTAGGAGCACCCAGCTCCCTGGGGTCTGTCCTGCTGTGGGGGTGCTTTAGCAGGGGCAGGCTTGTGCGGCGTGTGCCTGGGACGCAGAACTGAGCACCGTGGGTGGGAAGCAGCTGTCTGAAAGGCAGGCTGGAAGTGACAGGGAGGCGGCAGCATGTGACAGTTCCAGGGCTGTGGCCTGTCCCCAAGCTGGTGCTCGCAGGTGCCTGGAGGGTGGTGACAGTCCAGGCAGTGGTGGGCAGGGCTCCCCAGTTCCCAGGGACTCCTGGGGCTGGCAGTGGCACCCAGAGTCTGGGCTGAGCCAAGTTGGTGTTGGCTGAGGCCCAAGCCAGCAGGTGTGGACATCTCTGCTCACGTCAGGCCCAGCCTCAGTGCGTCACCGGGTTGTCAGGGCAAGAGCAGTGACTCTGGCACTTCTGACGGGGACACCGGGCACTCCGGGGCCCAGCATAAGTCAGGAGGCCAACCGTGTCTTCTCTGAACCTGCCGCCTCCGCCGCCCGGGGCTCCTGGTGTTTATTTGCTGTTGTCACCCCAGCAACGGCAGCTGCTGTCTGTGGAGCTATGGAGACCCGGAGCTCAACCTGCTCTGCAGAGGAGAAATGGAGGCTCAGAGAGGTGGAACACTTGCCCCGGGCCACACAGCCTGTCCGTGGCTGTGTGAAGAGCCCTGGCCACTTGGAGAGGATGGAGTTAGCTGAGCTGTGGGAGGAGCAGCACCGAGGCTCTGGGTGTGGGGACTTCGATGCCATCATCAGGACGCAGCCCTGCAGTGGCACCTGGGGCTTGCTGGAGGGACAGAAGGATTCTGGCCATTGCTTCCCAGACACCTGGGCTAGGAGTCTCCCCAGGGAACCTCATGGGGTAAACAGGAGCCTGTTCAGCCTGAAGCAGGAGGCGGCACCTCCCCTGGGGACCCCCTGCCAGACAGGGCGCGTCTGAGGAGTCTCTGGGCCCTTGACCTCCAGGGAGCCCCCCGACCTGCCTGGGGCTGGGCCTGCCTCTCCCCTGCCATAGCTTCTGGCCATGGTCCCTTTTCAGGTGACCCGGGAGTCCCCTCCTACCAGCAGCTCTCCTCGCCTTACTGCCTTATGGACAGGTCATCTCTCCTGTCCCAGGATTTGAGGGCCACCCCTCTTGCTGGTCCGGCAGCTGTCCTCTGATGGCTGTTTCCTCACGCGTCACACAGGGCAAGACAGTGGTCAGGGTGAGGCTGGAGTGCAGGCCACACCTGGCCGGGGAAGCCAGGACGGACGCATCGCTGGATACAGTGACAGCCAGCCACAGTGACACAGACCTGGGTCAGAAGGGCTTGGCCCAGCTGGACCAGAAAGTTCTTAGGCAGCTTTTTCACCTCCTGACGAGAACGACGTTAGAGGAGGAAAACCTTATTTGGGGCCCACGGCTTCACAGGTCTCCGTCCATAGGCAGCCGACGCCATTCCCTGGGGCTCTCGGAACCCAGTCACCCCACCCCCGAACTTTCTTGCCTTGACTCTGGTGAGCTCTGGGGGGGACACCTCCCCTTGCACCATAACAGGAGGGGATTTACCCATTAAGGCAGTCAAGGTCTCACCTGGGAACAGGTGTCACCGGGTGGAGACCTGTCGGGGAGGAGGCGCCCTCCTGCCTGTTTCTGAGCATCCCCGAGCCTTGCCCTCAGGCGCCAGCTGGGAAGGTGGGCCCTGCTCTGGGTCTCCTTTCCTGCTCTTGTTCAGTCTTCATCCCCTCCGCGTGCAGCCATGCCGGCCCAGCCGAGGTCCCCGTGGAAACCTGTACAGAAGGCCGTCTCAGACCCAGAGCTCAGCCAAGGCCTGGGATGGAGCCACCCTTTGTCCTCTTTGTCCCCATATCAAGCCACAGCCTGATCTGCTCTCTATGGGGGCCTGCCTGCCAAGGGCCAGTTTCCCAGGGGCAGGGGCAGGGTGCAGCCAGGCGGGGTGGCAAGCAGCCAGCCAGGAGAGGGAGCCAGGCCCGGGGAGGCCGCCGTCCCAGTGCCAGGCCCTGTGCTAGCCAGAGGCATCTTCTTTCACTCTGTAACAGCCCCCGCTATGCACCTGCCAGATGTTTGGCCTGCGGAGTTTCAAGGGTGGCCATCTCCCCCACGCGAGGGAGAGACTTACTGGAGAGGTGTCAGAAGCGCTCCCCCTGACCATGTGGCACTGAGGGCTCCTGGGAGTCTGTCGAGCAGTCTGTGGCTCTCAGTCTGGAACTGAAGGCAGGTGGGGGTCATCAGGATCCTAAGCTGGCCCTGAGGGCCAACCACCTGCTTGTTTTTTTGGACTTTTTGTGGTGATGGTTTTGTTTTGGGGGCTTCTTGTGGGTTTTTTTAGTAGTGGGGATGGAACCCCGAGGTGCTTACGACTGAACCACATCCCCAGCCATTTTTATTTTTTATTTTGAGTCAGGGTCTTGCTAAGTGGTTTAGGGCCTTGCTGGGTTGCTGGGGCTGGCCTCGAACTTGCCACCCGCCATGTTTGGCACCAGCAGCAGAGCTGAGTGGTGACAGACCATCAGGCCCATAAAGCAGAAAACCTCTTCCTCTAGCTCTTTGCAGAAGTGATTGGCGGGTCCCCTGTCTGATGGGATCTAGAGGGGGCAGCTGTGGGCAGTCTGGATGTGTCCACTTACAGAGAGTGTTTGGGGAGCAGAGCACCAGGAGTCACAGGTGTTGGGGAGGAGGGGCAAGAGGAGACTGCAGGGAAGCAGGCGGGAGGGGAAAGCAATTCTGTAGGGGAGCCGCTGGGGCCTGTCAGCAGCTGGGCTTGGGGTGGTCAGTGGGAGCTGCAAGAGTAGCCCCCCTTCCTGCTTCCCACCCCTGACTGCCAGAAACCATCAGGGATGAGGTTCCAGAGAATTCTGAAACTTGTGCCTCTTCTGTACCCCAGGTCACACTTGAACCTGGTTCTACCCAGCAGCTTATGCACTCAGATGGTAACCTGAGTACCTGCTGTATACCATCTGGATGCTGGGCACTGGGGACAGGCAGTTATGGGCAGAGACGTGGCCTGGTGGTGCTAAAGGGGCCTGGGGAGCCGGGAGGGGGCTTGCTGACACCAGCCTGCTATAGCGACAGGAAGACCTGCTGAGGAACCACTTAGGGTACAGCGGGGTTCTGCAGGGGTGTGGGGTGTGGGGTGTGGGTCCCAGGGTTAAGGTGGAAATTTGGAGGCAGCAGGAAGCCCAAGATTTTCAGCAGAGAGGTGGTGGGTAGAGGTGGGTTGAAGGAGGTGACCCCAGCTTCTGTGAGTAGGAAGGGCCCTGGGGGTGGGGGAGTAGAGAGACCTGGGGTGGGAGAGTAGGAAGGGCCCTGGGGGTGGGAGAGTAGGAAGGGCCCTGGGGGTGGGAGAGTAGGAAGGGCCCTGGGGGTGGGGGAGTAGAGAGACCTGGGGTGGGAGAGTAGGAAGGGCCCTGGGGGGGGGAGTAGGAAGGGCCCTGGGGTGGGGGAGTAGGAAGGGCCCTGAGGGTGGGGGAGTAGGAAGGGCCCTGAGGGTGGGAGAGTAGGAAGGGCCCTGGGGGGGAGAGTAGGAAGGGCCCTGGGGTGGGGGAGTAGGAAGGGCCCTGGGGGTGGGAGAGTAGGAAGGGCCCTGGGGTGGGGGAGTAGAGAGACCTGGGAGGGGGGGAGTAGGAAGGGCCCTGGGGGGGGGGAGTAGGAAGGGCCCTGGGGGTGGGAGAGTAGGAAGGGCCCTGGGGGGGGGAGAGTAGGAAGGGCCCTGGGGGGGGGGAGTAGAGAGACCTGGGAGGGGGGGGGTAGGAAGGGCCCTGGGGGGGGGGGGTAGGAAGGGCCCTGGGGGTGGGAGAGTAGGAAGGGCCCTGGGGGTGGGAGAGTAGGAAGGGCCCTGGGGTGGGGGAGTAGAGAGACCTGGGAGGGGGGGAGTAGGAAGGGCCCTGAGGGTGGGAGAGTAGGAAGGGCCCTGGGGGTGGGAGAGTAGGAAGGGCCCTGGGGTGGGGGAGTAGGAAGGGCCCTGGGGGTGGGAGAGTAGGAAGGGCCCTGGGGGGGGGGAGTAGGAAGGGCCCTGAGGGTGGGAGAGTAGGAAGGGCCCTGGGGTGGGGGAGTAGAGAGACCTGGGGTGGGAGAGTAGGAAGGGCCCTGGGGGTGGGAGAGTAGGAAGGGCCCTGGGGGTGGGGGAGTAGAGAGACCTGGGGTGGGAGAGTAGGAAGGGCCCTGGGGTGGGGGAGTAGGAAGGGCCCTGGGGGTGGGAGAGTAGGAAGGCCCCTGGGGGTGGGGGAGTAGGAAGGGCCCTGGGGTGGGAGAGTAGGAAGGGCCCTGGGGTGGGAGAGTAGGAAGGGCCCTGGGGGTGGGGGAGTAGGAAGGGCCCTGGGGGGGGGAGAGTAGGAAGGGCCCTGGGGGTGGGAGAGTAGGAAGGGCCCTGGGGTGGGGGAGTAGAGAGACCTGGGGTGGGAGAGTAGGAAGGGCCCTGGGGTGGGGGAGTAGGAAGGGCCCAGGGGGTGGGAGAGTAGGAAGGGCCCTGGGGTGGGGGAGTAGAGAGACCTGGGGTGGGAGAGTAGGAAGGGCCCTGGGGGTGGGAGAGTAGGAAGGGCCCTGGGGGTGGGAGAGTAGGAAGGGCCCTGGGGGGGGGAGAGTAGGAAGGGCCCTGGGGTGGGGGAGTAGAGAGACCTGGGAGGGGGGGAGTAGGAAGGGCCCTGGGGGGGGGGAGTAGGAAGGGCCCTGGGGGTGGGAGAGTAGGAAGGGCCCTGGGGGTGGGAGAGTAGGAAGGGCCCTGGGGTGGGGGAGTAGAGAGACCTGGGAGGGGGGGAGTAGGAAGGGCCCTGAGGGTGGGAGAGTAGGAAGGGCCCTGGGGGTGGGAGAGTAGGAAGGGCCCTGGGGTGGGGGAGTAGAGAGACCTGGGGTGGGAGAGTAGGAAGGGCCCTGGGGGTGGGAGAGTAGGAAGGGCCCTGGGGGTGGGGGAGTAGAGAGACCTGGGGTGGGAGAGTAGGAAGGGCCCTGGGGTGGGGGAGTAGAGAGACCTGGGGTGGGAGAGTAGGAAGGGCCCTGGGGTGGGGGAGTAGGAAGGGCCCTGGGGGTGGGAGAGTAGGAAGGGCCCTGGGGGTGGGGGAGTAGGAAGGGCCCTGGGGTGGGAGAGTAGGAAGGGCCCTGGGGGGGAGAGTAGGAAGGGCCCTGGGGGTGGGGGAGTAGGAAGGGCCCTGGGGGGGGGGAGTAGGAAGGGCCCTGAGGGTGGGGGAGTAGGAAGGGCCCTGGGGGGGGGAGTAGGAAGGGCCCTGGGGGGGGAGTAGGAAGGGCCCTGAGGGTGGGAGAGTAGGAAGGGCCCTGAGGGTGGGAGAGTAGGAAGGGCCCTGGGGGGTGGGAGAGTAGGAAGGGCCCTGGGGTGGGGGAGTAGGAAGGGCCCTGGGGGTGGGGGAGTAGGAAGGGCCCTGGGGGTGGGAGAGTAGGAAGGGCCCTGGGGTGGGAGAGTAGGAAGGGCCCTGGGGGTGGGAGAGGAGGAAGGGCCGTGGGGGTGGGAGAGTAGGAAGGGCCCTGGGGGTGGGAGAGTAGGAAGGGCCCTGGGGGTGGGAGAGTAGGAAGGGCCCTGGGGGGGGGAGTAGGAAGGGCCCTGGGGGTGGGAGAGTAGGAAGGGCCCTGGGGGTGGGAGAGTAGGAAGGGCCCTGGGGGTGGGAGAGTAGGAAGGGCCCTGGGGTGGGAGAGTAGGAAGGGCCCTGGGGGGGGGAGTAGGAAGGGCCCTGGGGTGGGGGAGTAGGAAGGGCCCTGAGGGTGGGGGAGTAGGAAGGGCCCTGGGGGGGAGAGTAGGAAGGGCCCTGGGGTGGGGGAGTAGGAAGGGCCCTGGGGGTGGGAGAGTAGGAAGGGCCCTGGGGTGGGGGAGTAGAGAGACCTGGGGGTGGGAGAGTAGGAAGGGCCCTGGGGGTGGGAGAGTAGGAAGGGCCCTGGGGGGGGGGAGTAGAGAGACCTGGGAGGGGGGGAGTAGGAAGGGCCCTGGGGGGGGGGAGTAGGAAGGGCCCTGGGGGTGGGAGAGTAGGAAGGGCCCTGGGGGGGGGAGAGTAGGAAGGGCCCTGGGGTGGGGGAGTAGAGAGACCTGGGAGGGGGGGAGTAGGAAGGGCCCTGGGGGGGGGGAGTAGGAAGGGCCCTGGGGGTGGGAGAGTAGGAAGGGCCCTGAGGGTGGGAGAGTAGGAAGGGCCCTGGGGGTGGGAGAGTAGGAAGGGCCCTGGGGGGGGGAGAGTAGGAAGGGCCCTGAGGGTGGGAGAGTAGGAAGGGCCCTGGGGGGGGGAGAGTAGGAAGGGCCCTGGGGGGGGGGAGGAGGGAGGGCCCTGGGGGGGGAAGTAGGAAGGGCCCTGGGGTGGGGGAGTAGGAAGGGCCCTGAGGGTGGGGGAGTAGGAAGGGCCCTGAGGGGGGGGGAGTAGGAAGGGCCCTGGGGGTGGGAGAGTAGGAAGGGCCCTGGGGTGGGGGAGTAGAGAGACCTGGGGGTGGGAGAGTAGGAAGGGCCCTGAGGGGGGGGGAGTAGGAAGGGCCCTGGGGGGGGAGAGTAGGAAGGGCCCTGGGAGGGGGGGAGTAGGAAGGGCCCTGGGGGGGGGGGGAGTAGGAAGGAGGCAGAGCCGAAGCAGCAGCCCTTCTGCAGATCTTCAGGGACCTCACAGACCACAGCACCCACAGCCTCTGGGCCTCTGGGAGCTGTTAGGCGTCAGCCCGCCCGGCCCCTCGGGGTGGAATCTGCATTGTACTAGGTCTCAGTTGGCTTGTCTTTGGGGTCCAGTCTAGAGGTTCTGGTTTAGGTCTTCCCTGTCTCCCAGATGCCAGGGAGGGGGCTGGGGGGACACATGACACTCTGTGTATTGGAGGAGGAATCGGGAGGTGGGTGAGATGAGGATGGCCAAGGAGGAGGGTCAGGCATGGCCTGGGGTCTGCCTTGTGCAGCCTGCAGGTGCCGTCCATGTGCTAGAACACTGGCCAGGATGAGACCTGACCTCTGGTTAAGTGCATTCCCGCAGGGACAGTTGTGACAGCCAGCGCCCCCAGTGGCCTACAGGAGATTGCAGCCTTCTGTTCCCACCCAGGCTGCCCATGAGGCAGGTGAGGGACCTACAGGAATCACGGCTCCAGCAAACCTGAGGCCATACAAGAGCTCACCGTCTTGGTTGTGACGTCGGGTCTTGGTGTACATGTTTGCCCAAACTTAGCTAATTGTGTGCTTTGACTATATAAGTTGACTGCACATCAGTTACATCTCCGTGAAGCCCCTCATGCCATCTGGGCAACTTACACAAACTGCTCCTGGCAATTCCACTTTCCTGAGAGGAGCTGCTACTGGCCCAGAATCCCAAAGCAGGGGACGGAAGCTTCTGAGCCCCCAGTCATGTCCCTGGCCCATGGGCCCAGCACTTGGTAGCATGTCTACATGGTGGATGATGATGTTGAAACCTGTGGGGACACTGGAACTGGTAGTCAAAGGAGTTGGGCACACAGTGGGCAACCAGTGCAAAGGCCCTGTGGTGTGTCCAGTGTGTTATGGCATGGCAAACCTGTCTGTCTCCAGGGAGTGCGGTGGTGGCACCCAGCACTTCTGCACACTCCTGGAGAGCACACAGGCTCCAGTGGCTTTTATGTGCAACTTGTTAAATTCTTTAGCAACTCCACACGGCAAGTATTATAATTATCCTCATTTCCAGACACACAAAGTGTGGCCTGGAAGTTAAGTACTTTTCTAAGGCCCCACAGTGAGCAAGTGGGCCGGAGGGGAGGAGGCAGGAAGGCATAGCACCCTGGGCTTCTTTCTGAGCCATTAAGGATTTATTTTAAGGTCTGCAGAGCTGCAGGGGAAAGGGACCAGTCAGATGTATATTCTGGAATTTTGAAAAGGAGGAGATTGACAGGGACAGCAGTGGGAGCTGAGAGGGGTGGGTGAGGAGTCCACTGTGGCTGTGTCCTCCAGAAATCTCCAGGGTGGAGGCTGTCGGGCCCACCCTCTCGTTCCAGAGCCCAGCCGGTGGGCCCTCCAGCCTCTGACTCTGCCTGTCCATCTCTGCCCCTGCAGGAAGGATGCCTCTGGCCCTCGGAGAGCACGGTGTCCAGCGGCGGGATCCCAGAGGTGAGTCCAGGCTGCCTCCCCTCCGGCACCCCTAGCGCTCCAGCCTCCCCCGCTGCCACAGAAAGGGTGTCACTGCATGAGGCCCATCCCTGGGCCCTGCTCTATAGACTGCCCCCGGGTGGCCGGGACCCCTGCCTCAAGGAGAGCCTTTTCCCGTGTGGGGTGGCGCAGCCCTGGTGCTGCCCACAGGCCAGGCCGGTGGACCCCAGCGGAGACCCCACCCCGCCCTGCTCCCCCGGCCCCTGACCCGTCGCCCGCCCCCCAGCCGCAGGTCTACGCCCCTCCTCGGCCCTCGGACCGCCTGGCCGTGCCGCCCTTCTCCCAGCGGGACCGCTTCCACCGCTTCCAGCCCACCTACCCCTACCTGCAGCACGAGATCGACCTGCCCCCCACCATCTCGCTGTCTGACGGGGAGGAGCCCCCGCCCTACCAGGGCCCCTGCACCCTCCAGCTGCGGGACCCCGAGCAGCAGCTGGAGCTCAACCGAGAGTCAGTGCGCGCGCCCCCCAACAGAACCATCTTCGACAGTGACCTGATGGACAGCGCCATGCTGGGCGGCCCCTGTCCCCCCAGCAGTAACTCGGGCATCAGCGCCACGTGCTACGGCAGCGGCGGGCGCATGGAGGGGCCGCCCCCGACCTACAGCGAGGTCATCGGTCACTACCCGGGGTCCTCCTACCAGCACCAGCAGAGCACCGGGCCGACCTCCCTGCTGGAGGGGACCCGGCTCCAGCACCCGCACCTCGCCCCGCTGGAGAGCAAAGAGGATAAACAGAAAGGACACCCCCTCTAGGAGCCGGGGGCCAGGCCGGGGCAGCGTGGCTTAAGGCAAAACACTCGGCACTTCCTAAAGGAGAAGAGAGGAGGGCAGGGTGACACACCCCCTCCGTGTATAAATATTTACATGTTATGTCTGGTCTGAATGCACAAGCTCAGAAAGCTTGCAAAAACAAAACAAACAAACAAACAAAAAAAACACGTTTCTTTGTTGAGCTGTCTTGAAGGCAAAAGAGAAAAAAAATAATTTCTGCAGTAGTCTTTTGTTCCCAGTTGAGCTGCGTCGTGAATGCTTAATTTTCTTTTGTTTATGATGATTTCACTTATCTTTAAAGACATATTTGCACAAAACCTTTGTTTAAAGATCTGCAATATTATATATAAAAATATATATAAAATAAGAGAAACTGTATGTGCGAGGGCAGGAGTATTTTTGTATTAGAAGAGGCCTATTGAAAAAGTTGTTTTCTGAACTAGAAGAGGAAAAAAAATGGCAATTTTTGATGCCAACTCAGAAAGTGTGTATTACCTTGTAAAGAAAAAAAAAACTACAAAGCAGGGGCTTAGAGTTATTTATATAAATGTTGAGATTTTGCACTATTTTTTAATATAAATATGTCAGTGCTTGTTTGATGGAAACTTCTATCATGTTTGTTGAGACTTGGAGGAAGACAGGTCAGAGCTACAGAGTGGACCTCAGGCAGAGGGGTGCCCTGGGGTCTGGAGAGGCCCACCAGGGCTTCTGCAGCGCACATGCTTCTGTCTAGATAGGTTGTTGCCACATTATACATTCCCTACTGAAGGGGACACATTTCTTCCTTCTGGGCCAGAATAGCCTTTGGATGGCAGGCGAATCAGGAAAGTTCCCCCGGAGGCGCCAGGTTCCAGCTGGTGGATTTTGCCTTTCCCAAAATGAAAATAAACTGCTAACGAAGGAATTTTAGTTTTTCTTCCTCTTTTTTAAAATGCAAAGGTCCCATGGGAAGGGCAGGGTGCTGCTGGCAAGCTGGGGCTGCCCCCGTGCGTGCTGCTAGGGATGCTCTCGAGGGGCTGCTGGCTTGCTCCTGCAGAGTGCTTTGGTGATTCAACTGGCCCCAGCGTTTGCAGGCCAAGGTCAGTGCCAAGGTCAGTGCAGCGCACTGACTGCTAGGAAAGGCCTCAAGCGTGGCATTTGGCGTCCTCCCCATGGGCTTTGATTCACGTATCAATTTTGACCTAAGGGGCCAATAAACAGACCACCTGAGGTGACAGGTGACAGCCAGGTGTCTCCCTGGCATATATAAAAGGGTTAAACTGGGATGATGGTCAGACCAACACAAAGCCTGCTCCAGGCTTTAGAATTCCTTACCTCCCTCCCCACGTTTGCATTCCCTTCCCCATGGAAACAGCCACTGCTCATGGCTATCTGTGTCCTCACCTGCATCTTTCTCTGGTCAGCTTTGTCCAGCAGGTCCTTACTGGGCAGATTGGGACTGGCCGGACCCTTGATGAGGAGTAGGATTTGGCACAGGTGAATAGAGGTGACAGGAGACAAGAGGGGCCCTCGGGGTCCAGGGGGTGTGGTGGAGCTCGGGGTCTTCTCCCAGTGGACTTGCTACACACGAGGGACCCCTACCCCTGCAGATAGGGCAGGCTCCCACACTGCTGTCCCCTCTGGGCCTGGGAGATGTCCCCTCGTTTGGGGCAGAATGCTACCCAGTCAACTGACCTAAGAGAAGGATCTAGGAAGCGTGGGACATAAGCCACTTTGTCCCTGAAAACGGCTCAGAAGTTCTGACCGCTGGGCCTCTGTTTCGAGGTGTATTTTAAGAATGTGATGACCGCAGAACCTGGGGCCCGAGCTTTCTGCAGAAGTCCCCATTCCTCAGTAGCAGAGCCTGCCTCTGTGTGGGGCCTTGAAGAGGATTCTTTTCAAGGTCGTGCAGAGAAGTCAGTATAGCTTGCCCTGAAAGGTCCAGGGACACACAGATATTCCAGCGTAACCTTCCTTGATGGGAAGCGTCTCTGGTGCCTTAGTAAGGAAGCAATCACCCTCTCGTCCCCTGGCGGGACGTTCCTGGACAGTGCCTCACTCCCCGGGACTGGCATCCTCTCCCTTGGTTTACAAAGGGCTCCCCGTCACCCTCTAGCATCTTCACCCCTCTGTCCTGGGGAGGCGCACTCAGCGAGGCACCGGCCTCCTATCCCTGTGGTCTTCTTGGTCCAGGACTGTGCCTAACTCCCATCTGGGTCGAAAACCTAGAAAAGTGGGCTTCATTTGTACATGTGGCCTCAGCCACCGCCAGGGGAACCGTCCTGCTGTCCCTCTTGGGACAGGCTGTCTGAATCTTGTTGCTTCGTGGGGTGGCCTGTGTGTGCTGTAGTGAAGAGGGAGGGGGAGAGCGTGGCTTTGACCTCAGCTGGCCTGAGGGCAGGGCCCACCCCCACCCCTCTGGTTCCAACCAGTGTCGAAGTCCAGGGTCACTGGCCTTCATGCCCATGGATGACCGTTGCAAAACTTCAAGGAGAAGGGGGTTGGCAGGGCAGTGAACACCCCAGAAACCCGATGGGGTGTTCATCTGGAAACCAGGGCTGGAGAAGCTCCCCGCTTCCCCGCGGGCCCCCACAGCTCTGGGCACACTCTGCTTGCGGTGTTGGTGGTCACCTCATTATCTTTGAAGCACCCCTAGGAGACCACCCTTTTCCAGTGGGAGATTAGGTGGGGTCCTGAGAATGGCTGGTTGGAGGGGGACCAGTTGGTTTTGGGGTGCTGCTTCCTTCACCCCCCCAGTGCCCATGGGCGATCCCGATGTTTCCTCCAGAGAAACACTTTCTTCTCTGCAGAGCCGGGGTCTGTGCATGGACTTCCAGAGTGCACCAGGAGCCCCCATCTTTTCAAAAGCCCGATGTTTTTTGCAAAGAGTAAGCGACCCCTTTCCCCTCATGTAGCAAAAACCGGGGCAAGCCAGAACCGGGTCCGTCCCCTGTCCTATCCGCTGTCCCCGTGAGTTGTACGTTTCAGATAATTTTTTTCCCGTGTGCAACACAGCTTCCAGAACCTCAAAACGTCCGATGATATGGAAGGAAATGTGTCTGTTTTGTTTTGTTGCTTTGTTTTCCGGAAGCTGTGCTGGGAACCTCGCTGGGCCCTCAAGCTCAGAGGCCACGCGACTTCCCGCCGCCCGTCGCCCGCCATGCTTGCATGTTGCCTTCTGCCGATGACCGCTTCCTTTGCAGCCGTTTCGCGTTCTGTTAAGTGAAACTCCTGTAAGCTCTCCTTGCACGCCGGGTGCAGCCCAAGGGGCTGCTGCCTAAGACTCTGTATCTGGACGCCCATCCGCAGGCCTGGAGAAGCTGCTTGTTGTGTATCAGTGATCATTAGTGGCAATGATGACACTCTGAAAGCTGCAATACTTATACAATAAATTTTACAATTCTTTGGAACAAGGCTTCTCAACTTCTTTGCCTGTATTGCTCTTCTCCCTTCCGAACTCCCACCCCCTGCCACCTTCTAGAACAACACCAGGGTACATATAGTGGAGAGAGAGAGAGAGAGAGATCTCAGCGCTGCTTTGCAACTTTGAGTTGAGTGGCTCAACCTTTCTGTTTTAGCTCAGGAAGCCCAGTGAAAACACCTATTCCAACATTGTTCCAATAAAAAAAGGGTGGCTACTGGGGTTAATAGTTCCCAAAACATTGTATGCTTTTCCTCCCTCTGGGGAGATCATTATTTACCAATGCATGATGAAAATTCAGATAAGGTCTGAGAGCAAGGAAGTATCTTAAGTGGGTTTCTTCCAGAAGAACTGTGAGACGTGGCCTCGTGTGCAAGGGATGGATGGATTTAGGATGTGTCCTCCTGGGTTCAGGGGGTTGACTAAGGGAGGTCAGAGGGGGAAGAAAAGTGAGGGAAGGAGGTGGTTTTAGGTCAAGTCCCAGCTCAGTCTGTCCCTCCAGGGCCTGTGGGTCTCTGGGGTAGCTGCACCAGGAGAGATGGACACCCAGGCCCTCTGACTTCAGTGCATAAGACTGGAGCAAAGAGGTCCCAGAGTGGTCCACCCACTTGCCAGCCCTCAGCAATGCATGCGGAGTCTGGAGGAGGGGTGTGCAGACCCCTATAAAGGTTTCCAGGGATCCTGAGTGGGACCCCACAGTACCCACTACAGAAACTGTCTTAAATAGAGTCATCTTCCAAGTCCCATCAAGCCAATTCAGAGGTGGGGCCCAGGATGACTGCTATCTGGCCTCAACCAGGTTGGAGCTTCTGGCCCTCGCACCATGGGAGAACGCCGGCCCAAGGCCGCAGCCCACTGGACCAGGACAGCACTCAGCACGCATCTGCCTTGGCTTTCCTGTTCCCTCTTCCTGGTGGGAGAGGAGCTCAGAGGCGAGGATCTGGGGAGAAGCCAAAGACCTCCCCTCTCTAAGCACTGAGAGTCGGGGCCATGGGTGGTCCCTTCTAGTTTTGGAGTCTGAGTCACTCTGAGCTGCGAAGGTCATGCCCCTGCAGATCTTTGTCACCTGGTCTGTGGACTAGGGTTGATGGCGTGCCCGTGAGATGCTTGCCCTTGTGTCCACAGGTAAGGCCTGCAGGTGCCCAGCGGGGGAGGCACCGGCACGCGGGCGTCAGCTGCTCTTTCCAGGAACTCGGGCTCAGGGTGGGGTTCCTATGCTATGAGCAAAGGCTCCCTGAGCCTCCTGGACCCGTTTGCAGGCCCTTCTCCCAGGAGTCAGGATGGAGCAGGGAGCTTTTTCCAGCCATGGAGGGGAGTCTCGGGCTCCAGCCAGGCAGGACCTCTCCCAGAAGTACAGCTGGAGCAGTCAGCCGCTCAGCTCCAAACTGGCAGTGAGGGCAGCTGAGACAGCACGGGCAGGGAGCACGGGCAGGGAGCACGGGCATGGCCACCCTTCCCAAAGCTGGCGGCTCCACATTCCCAACAGCTCGCCTTTCACTTCCCTGGGTTTTTTGGTGGTTTCTATTTTCTTTTTTTTAACACTCAGGCTGGCTGCAGGGAGGGCCCTTGCCACAGACCCCCAGGCTTTGTGCTGGTGTTAGAAACGCACGTGCTCACCAGCACCTCTGCCAGCAGGAGAACGGCCACAGGAGCCAGTGGGTGGCCCACGGAGGCTGCGTTCCAAGCTTGGAGATGGTGCTCCCCCACCCAGGGTGGGGGTTACCTCCAGATAAACCCAGGTAAGCTGAAAATACGTAAGTGTCTGGTGCCTTCTGAGAAACTTCTGGGGTCTGGTTGGAGCAATGGGGGATCTCCTGAGCTTGTCCATCTGGCCAGAACCCTGTCCCCCTTCACTGCCTCTGACGTCCCTCTCCCTTTCCTGGATGTGGGTGGGGAGCACTTCCTAATCAGCAGGGGCCCCTCCTCGCCTCCACCATCCGGCCTGGGGCCAGGCTGACCCCCCCCCAGGGGTACCCCAATCTGGTGGGGGTTGGGAACACCCTCAGTTCCTTGGAGGAAGCCTCAGGAGGACGCTGACACTCGGGAGCCCACAGATGCCCCAGGAGAAAGCAAATGGGGTGCACCTCTGGGCTTTCTCACCACGTGCCTGTGTCACCACTGCCCTCTTGCCCAGAGGCCCTTCGCTCAGCCCCTTGGCTGTCCTGACCTCCTCCAAGCATGGGGACCCGCTCAGCCAGCACCTCCTCCAGGAAGCCTCCGGGATGCCCAGGCTTCTCCATGCCGTCGCCACTGACACTCGCTGCATGTGGCCTCCATGGCCCCCCAGGGTGCTGAGCTGCCTGAGGCCAGCCCCAGACTCCTAGCCATCATCCAGAGGGGACACACCCCCGCGCAAGCAGGCCTGCACTCCCCAGCTGCCTCCATCTTCCGCCCCATCTCCACCCAGGAAACGGAGGCCAGAGCACTCAGCCGCCTGCCGCATCAGCTTCCAAGAGTCGGGTGCGCTATCCCAGCGTCCTGTGCTGCCCCCCCACTCCCCGCACTTCCTCAAAGTCTCCACTTCCTCAAAGTCTCCAAGTGACAGTCAGGCCAGCAGGCCTGCACTGCCAGCTTCCCCACCCGGGTCAGAATGAGCCCTCTCACACTCACCCTGGGGGCCAGGAACAGCTCCCTTAAGCTTTGTCCAGGGCTGGGGGCTTCTGGCTACAAATGATGGAAAATAAGCATCCAGTGGTGTGAGCCCCAAGGAAACGCACTAGTTTTAAAGGGAGTGCACGGCCTGCTGGACCCTGCTGTGTGCATCTGCCCTCTAGAGCAGGGGCCAGCATGCTGCAGCCCAGACACCAACCCTCCAGCTGCCCACTGCCAGCCTTTGTAAATAAAGTTTTATTGGACACTAGCCACAACAGTTTAATGATTCAATGTTTACGGCTGCCTTTGTGTTTCAAGGATGGAGTTGAGTGGTTAACTACAGATACCTACCACGTGGCCCAGAGAGCCGGAAGTATTTGCTAAGTGGCCCTTTGCTTTAGACTCCCACATGGCTGCAAGCTGGCTGCTACTGCCCCAGACATCACGCTCAGACACAGAAAAGGGGGATTCTTTCTTCTCTGCAACATTTTAAAGAAAGTTTTAAAGACATATTTTATTTTCATAACAGGGTTCATATTTAACAGAAAAATCGAGATGATAAGGTGTCCCTATATCCAGTTTCACATATGATCAGCACCTGGAACCAGCGTGCTATATTTGTCACAATTAACAAATCAATATCAAAATGACCTCTAACTAAAGCCCCGACTTTATGCAGAATTCCTTAGTTCTTCCCCCTCTGTGTTCGAGGGTTCCATCTAGAAGTTTCCACCAAGATTAGTTCTGTGTCAACCTCCAACCTCCTCCCATTCCTCTGGGCTGTGACAGTCTCCCAGCTGTCCCCTGTGTTTGAGGACCTAAGTCCCTCTTGGCACTGCTTGGCACCCCGTGGAAGCCCCTTACTGTCTCCTTACCTTGGGGTCATGGTATGGGGAGGAGCCAGAGAGAGGAACACCTTATCACTGTGGCCAGGACACACCGTCCATGTGGCCTGTCACTGCGGAGGTTGGCCCTATTCCCCTGAAGGAAGCGTCATCTGCCAAGGTCCTCACCTTCCCACTGCACTCTTAGGAAGGGAGTCACTGAGCCCCGCTCACTAGGAAGGAGCGGAGGGCTGATCCCCACCTCCTGGGACGAGGAATCTGCACAAATCGTTTGAAATTCTTCTTCATAAGCGACTCTTCAGTCACTCCTACCCGTGTGGACGCAGCCATGCTCATTCAGTTCCTCGAGCTGGAGCCCAACGTCTTCGTTCTGCTGCTCAGATCACTCCAGCTTTGGCCAGTTGGCCCCTCTGTCCCCGTGACCCCAGTCCACCTCATGGGCTGAGTCGTCAAGGCCAGGTGCTGTGCTTAGTGAGCACCCTTACTGTGGGGCACCCTTACTGTGGGGCATCCTCCGCCTTGACCACCGTTTCCCCCAGGGCTCCTTTGACAGGGAAATCGTGCTGGGAACCGAGGTCAAGGTCCTGGTGTGCTTGTGGCAACCGAGGTGCCCTGACTTCCAGGCCCCCTCAGGTGCCGGGGCCAGGAGACACGGGTGCGTCTGCGGACCCGGGTTGGCCCCTCCGTTGGCTTGTCTGCACCCTCCCCGCCACAGTGGAAGGCCATTCTCGGCTGAGGGACTGCTCAAGACCAGCAGGACACATCCTTGTCCCCTTGTCCACCAGAGCCAGAGCTGTCCGGCAGGCAGGGCCCTTGCCTTCGCCCTAGCAGACTTCACTCATGTCTGAAGTCACTTAGGTTGGTAGCTGTCCCCTTTCCGTGAGGCTGTTTTGTACGCTTGGCAAATTCTGCATTCATCATGGGATCCCCCAACATCCTGGTTAAAAAAAAAATGAAATATATTCAATTTCATTTTTAAATTTTTTTTTCTTTTAGCTGTAGATGGACACAACATATTTATTTTGGTTATTTATTTCTGTGTGGTGCTGAGGATGGAACCCAGTGTCTCACACGTGCGAAGCGGGCGCTCTGCCACTGAGCCACAGCCCCACTCTCAATTTCCTTCTCTGTGTTGTAAAGATCTACAGGTTTTGGTAAACACGTAGGTCATTTATCTACCACTACAGGGTCATTATGGAATAGTGAACTGCCCTTTAAAAGATCCCTTTCACGTCACCTACTTAACCGTCTCCCCCACCAGGACCCTGTTCTCAATGTCATTGTAGTTCCACGTTTCAGAGAATGCCACGTCCCTAGAGTTATATGGTACGTGACCTGTTCCCACTGGCTTCTTTCATTTAATAATATGCATTTTAGATCCATCCGTCTCCTTGTCATGGCTTATCAGTTTGTTTCCTTTCATGGCCAACAGCATTCCGTATGTGCCCTATTTGATTTATCCCTTCACCTACCAAAGGACATTTTTTTGTTGCCACTTTCTAACGAGGACCAGAGCTGCTAGGACACTCCCACGCAGAGTTCTGTGGGCACAGGT